AAAAATATGAACAAGTGGCGTTGATGTGTTAATTTCTGGCGGAATTATTACTTTTCGACATAAATGTCCTGAAATTAGACAAACATGTTAATTAGAGGACGTATTATGCAAGTAAATGAAGTTAGAGGACCAATATCGGACACCACCAAAAGTTACGGGACTAATTTTACAAATTTCCCAAAATAATATTATGACATGTTGATAATTAAATCACATAGTATCATGTTGAAATGACGTGACAAGTTTTTTATGATTATTAATAAAGTAGTCAAAAAATTAAAAGTTATGGTTGAGATTTAAGTATAATAAAATGAAATATTGTAGATCACATATTTCTTTTCAAAAAGGAAACGTGACACTTATTTTGGAATATCCCAATAAGAAAAATAAGGCATGTAATATGGGACCTAGAGAGTAATACTCCTATTTAGAGCTCTTTGTTGATCCTCATTTTCAGTTTATCAACAATTTTTTTACGAAACACGTAACTTTAATTTTTTTGCACTAAATTGCACTATGTATAATATTCAAAATAAGTCAGATTACTTTTCTGGCTGAATTGGCAAAAGTTAGTGTATATGATAATATTTGCTATCTTTCATATAATTTTTTCTTTATTTTATTAACAAAATATATTTTAAATATAGTTTTCCATAATGCAGCGATTCAGCCAATTCAGCCAGAATTTCATCAATTTCAACAAATGCAATCGATTTATCCAATTTTAGTGCTACCAAATGGGCTAATAATCTATGTTTATGGTTTGGGCAATTCTAAATACAACCATAGTTTTACTATCCACAGCCCTATGTTTAAAATTCGTTTAAATAAATTGGTAAAATTTACAAGTTTATCCTTGATGAAATTGTTTTCTTTTATACTGCTAAAGCAACTCATCTTCTAAGACGGTAAGATATGGCCGAGGCCACGACGGTGAATATCACCAAGGTGGTGGCAGACGTTAAGGCGGCGGTGGCGGAAGTTATGGCGGTGGTCATCACCGAAGCTTTGTAGCAGTGGTGGTGGTCTGGTGGAGTCTATGGCAGTGGCGGATTCATCTCGCTCGAAACCTGGCCCACAGAACTCCTGACGCTTTGACTCATCTCCGCTTTGAAATTCTTCCGCAACCGCTTGTCCGCTCAGCTTGCTTTGAGAAATTTTTGATATATACTGTTAGGGTTTCAGCCAAGTAGGGTGTGGTGATGAGAGGTAAATTAGATTTTCAATCTGTTGGGAAAGGAATATGGGAAATTGAGTATTTTGATAAGTGAAGAGGGAGGTGAATTCACTGAAGCAGAAGGAATAATTGAGTGAGGAAGTGTGAGATTCTTGTGATTCTCCAAAAAAACCACCCCAGATGCAGAGATGGGACAAAGATGAAGAGAACAGTTTGAAATATAATCTACTGACGTGTCTTTTGGCTAATCTTGAAGCCATGGTTAAGAGCATCGAGGTGGATGGCAAAGAGGAGTGAGATTGTCCGTGTGGGATATAATAGGGATTTTAATTATATTTTATTAATTAATTTTAATTAAGGAGTGTGAATAGTAATTATGTGGCTCTATTTAGAATTACCCTTATGGTTTTCTTTCACCGAGAAGCTCAGAGTCGGCCGAATCGCCCAATTTCCGTTGCAATTCAGATTTGTAGCAGCCAAGACTTCTGTAATCGGAGCCCTCCACATGGAAACCGCCCTGTCATATCCTTGTACCTTCTGACTGGTAGGGTAGCAGGAGTCAAAAAAAATTATATTCGCATGTAAGACAATTTGTAGTGGTCAAGATTCCAAATTGTTAAATTTGGACTCCGTCCATATGAAAACAGTGTTTAGACTCCGTCAATACTGTTTTTCCCTGCATCCGTGCACCGTCAATATAATACACTCTGCATATTTTTTACATATCGATTTAGTAAAACATTAATTAAATTATTATAAGCAATATTTTTCTTTTGACTTTTTGCCTAGATAATTATGAAATAAAAAATACACATTTCGAAGTAAAAAAAATAAATTTCACTAATTTTTTATATGATTTTTTGTTAACAAAAAATGAAGATAGTTCAAATAAAATTGGATTATGGAATATCCAGCTAGTATTTGTGAAGGCTCAATGAATTAAAAATTTGTATTTCGTGTTTTTTTGGGTTCAAGAAAACTTCAACAGTTAATTTTTTTTTAGCATTTTATATATTACATATTGGTGTCATATGAAAGATCATAAAAATTCATGAATTCTGGTATAATTTTTGAAAAATTTAGAGAACAAATAAAAAAGTTATAAGAGTTTAAAATTAATTGGGATTTTAATGACATCTGCATGACATTATTATGATGTCAGCATAGCGCATGAACACCGCAGAAGAGCGCCGCATTTTTTCTTTTTTTCTTTTTCCTTTTCTTTTACCCTGTCAACCTAACCCTCTATTTATACACTCTTCCGCTCCCCTTCCCACTTTTACTCCCCCTTTTAATCTACTACTATACCAAATTAAGAGTCTAAAAATTCCATTTTTAATCTTTTGACTCCTAATCTATAACCACTACAAATGGTCTAAGAGAGGTTGAAGCTTTTGAGAACTCAAGCGCTAAAAAGCTACTCCCTCCGTCCCTTATAACTTTGTCAACTTTCCTTTTTTTGTTGTCCCAAAAACTTTGCCACTTTCCCTTTTAATAAAATCAATTTGTGGTTCCTGTTATTTCTCTCTCCTCTGCACAAATATCTACCACACAGTTTTTACTTTATTATTTTACGTGCCGGTCAAACTTGGCAAACCTTTAAGGGACGGAGGGAGTAAAAAGATTTAGAAGAAGAATGGGCTGAACTAAGATTCCAAAGTAGGCAGATGACAATTCCGATAGAGATCTTCAAAACCTGATGAAGAATTATGAGTAGTTTACACTTTACACAATCACATGTGACTACCTTATGAAGTAAGGTGGAGTGTTGTGGCATGATCTTTGCCATTTATTTTTTTAGTAGGATTCTTCACTAAAAAATGATAGAGATCATGTCATAACACCTCATGCGACTGCATAAAGAAGTCACATATGGGTTTTAAAATTTTTTGGAAGAATTACAGATAAACGAACAAATTATTAGATTAAGCTATGATTTTATGTGCTTTTGTAAGCTCTGATTTAATTAAGTATAGTGCAATTAGACTTCTTTAGAAAAGGGAAGGGTGCTCAAATAAATAAAGGGAAAGTTCCCGAAATAAGACTAAAACAGTTTAAAAATTTCAAAATAGGACTGTCATGTTTTTTTTATTCCCAAAATAAGAGTAATTACTGCCAAGTTTGGAAAATACTGTCACGTTTGAAGTCTGGTACTGCCAACACATGACAGTAATTAGTCCTATTTTGAAAATAAAAACATGACAGTCCTATTTTGGAATTTTCAAACCTTTTTAGTCCTATTTCGGGTAATATTCTCATAAATAAATCGATCACTTATTATCGGGTCCAAGGTGTTTATCACTGTTTTCTTTAGGCCTCGCGTGCTTCACTGATCTATTTTTCTCTTTTAATAAGGGTAATTTAGATATTTGAATTATATTTATTTTTTAATTATTTAATTAAGTGACTAAGAATACATGTTGGGGGTGTGAATATAATTACTCTTTAATTTATGAGACAAGGATGAAGTGTATTGTCACTTATCTCGGGGCCCGAAGAATCAAGGGAAGGATGGGTGAGCCCGACACTAAAGGCTGAGGGTATTCAGTGAAGACAAAGGGCGCCAGTCGTCACCCTTGATCTCGGCTCAATGCTATAATTAAGATGTTTTTACTTGGACTGATATTTGTTGATCTGGTCTAAACTGGACTGATAAATGTCTTCTGATCAGATCTAGTCTACTTAAGTTTGATCTGATGAACTGAAAAAAAAATCCAAATAAAAACATTCTTAGCCAACGTTAACATTGGCGTCATCTCGCTTATAATCCTTTTGCCAGAATGAGGAGTACTCTCCGACACTAGTGGCTTAGAAATAGTGAAAATGACTCATTAAATTCAACTATTTAGTGAATTGACTTTTTTCTAAAATTTAAAATCTCACCTAGCTTCATGCTCCCTCCGTCCTTTTTAAGTTTGTCAGACACAAATTTTCAAGTCAAAGTTGTTCAATTTTGACCGATTATATATTTATACACGATAATATTGATAATAAGAAAATTATGTGAAAATGTTCTTTGTTGAAAATATTACCATAAAAGTATAAATTTATTAACGTTTACATAAATATATTAGTTAAAACAATAGATCCAAGTTTATCACCTTTGACTGGAAAAGTCAAAGTTGGCAAACTAAAAAGAGACGGGGTAGTATGTTTCATTTGGTCGCTATTATGAGTCTATGACTCGAGTGAAGACAGGTATGGTCATTTCAAATGAGGGTCAAATAGGCCCTCAAACTAACTTAAAAAATGCAATTAACCCCTTATATAGGAGACTATGTCCGGCCGTCGTCAATTGGGGCGGTTCCCGGTAGAATTTTTTATGAAATTTTTTGAGCATCTTCTTCATTAAGTCTAGGTTACCCATACCAAATTTCATATAACAATTCAATCGGGAAGACAGTCAAATGAATTTTTGAAGAGAACTGCGCAGTTAAACAGCGCAGTACATTTCAGAAAATCATTTGACTGCCTTCCCGATTGAATTTTTATCTGAAATTTGATATGGGTAAACCAAACTTAATGAAGTAGATTCTAAAAAAATATCAAAAAATTCCAACAGGAACTGCCCCAATTGACTATGGCCGGACAGAGTCTTCTATATAATGGGATTAATTACACTTTTTTAAGTTAGTTCGAGAGCCAATGTTCAATTATAGCTTTGGTTACTTATTTTAGAAAAGAAAAAAAATGTCATTTTCAACAGGATACTTATTTTAGTCATTACTCAATACTCGTTATCCTTCTCGACGTAGTCGCTAGCAAAATTTCACTTGGTCAAAAAATGCATTATTATTCTTCAATTAACAGTTCATTTTTGCAGCTCGAGACAAGAAATTTATTCAAAAATTAGGTCACTTTCAACAGGACAATCATTTAATCAATAAAGACAATCTTACACTAGCTCAGAGTACAGAATCAGTCTGTAATGTACTACACATTTGATTACAAACATACAGGTGCATTCTTGAAAATAAAAATGTGAGTCATGATTGTGGTTTTTTTAAGGGAGTACTAATATCCAAAAAGAATACCTACGTGCTAGAAAAGCTCATTCTTGCTCATAAGATCCATTTCAGCACACATGAGATAGTAGGGAGTAATCCCAAATCACATTATTATGCAAACTATACATTATGCGGAACACTACCCTTCTCCAATCACATTAGCAAAGGGTCGCACAAAATGGGTGGTTTTGGATTAACGGGTTTCTACTTTGATTCCACTTCTTCGATTTGTTGACGCGCTAGATATTTTTCTCGTCGCTCCTTCTGCAAAACACAATGTTTGAAGCATTTCTTTGCAAAAACCAATGAGAAATACCCTTCTACAAAGAGATGTTACATTTGTAGTTCCCGACTATTAGGTCATTCCACTCAAGGTGCAGATTATGGATCCTTAACCACTTCTGGTCCTTCCAACAACTTATCTGGCCAATATTTGCACATTTTTCATTGACTTTGCTGTACAGGACACAGAGGACCAAAAGTGACAAGGAAATCCATAGTTGTGCACCAAATATATATCAAAATGAAAGGCAGTGGCCAAAACCTGGATTGACCTAATAGTCTTGGCTCATAGAGACCATAAACTTTCAATGGTAAGTCCTCTAGGACCTTTATTGTTTAAAAAGTGTCAAAATAATTTCCTGCATATTAGCTTATTTGCGTCCTTAATCCTAAACATGCTTACCCATTCATCAATTACAAGACCTTCTCCCACAACTTTTGGACCTGTATCGACCACAGGTTTCTTGTAAGCTTCTGTAGCAGCATCAGCTTCGGCCAACTGGCGCTTCAACTTATCCAGTGCCTTGGAAATATTATTGAGCCCTCATAAATTGGATTTTCAAAAAAATAAGACTATATATGCATTCATAATAAGCATTAGATGATTTTGTATTACCGAAGAAGGGCGTTCTGGGTCCAGGAAAACCACTCTCAAAACTCGCTCAACAGTTGCTTTATCTTTTTGCTCTTCAAACTATATTGAAGTTAAAAAAATATTTCTAAAAGTTAGTAGGTCTATATCAAATAAAAGTAGATCCAGGAGCAGTTAAAGAGCATTCAATTTGTCCTGTTAAGATACCCCATGCAGAAATATTAGTAGAATATTCAGATTTTATACTTCAGAATGCCATAATTAGAAACTGGGACCACGCAGACAAATAAAGGGGAAATTTCCCCTTTTATAAAACGAAATTGATCCATGAAACAAAAGCAAAACAGCACGTCATTTATTTTTCAAATGCTAATCATCATCTATCCAGTTTTCTTATTCTAATAGGTCAAACCACGCATTCTTTTAGTATCTTGTACTTTATAATATTATCAAGATTATTAGTATTCTTCATGTAAGCACTCCCCAAATAATAGGCTGTCTACTTAGCACACATATACCAGTACTTGTTTATGGAAAGATTGAAGAAACAAAAGCACATAAATGATGTGAAATGTGAAATGCATGTTCTTTTGTAAATGACATTTTCCAAGAACAAAAATTGCACTGAAGTTCGTTAAACTCACCAGCTCTGGCACATAGTCTGCACCTTTTTTTATTGTCAAGCTCAAGATCTTGAACTTGACCTTGCTTTTTTTATCCAAGGGCGGTTTTTCGTTTTTCTCTGGATGCTCCACAAATTTGAAGACTGTCAAGCAGGGCAGAAATCGAAATGCAAGTAGCAACCAAAGGAAACGCATCAGGTCTTCTGAGTGATTGTAGTTGAAGTTATACCAAAATATGAACATAGATTCAAATTATCATGGCAGTTGCTTACCAGTGACAATAATGTTTTCACCAGGCACAAGAATACCTCCCGGAGGTCGCATATAACAGCTCTTTGGTGATGTTGTTTGAAACTTGAATAGAAAAGGGGGGGGGGGAATCTATAAGAGTGTATACTCAACTGCTCATTCAATGAACATACAGCACAACTGTTTTTCCACTAAACACCTTTTTCTAATATGGACCATATGGTTGAATACTTGAATCACTAGAATAAAAAAAGAAATTGAAGGAGTTATGTTGCTGATTTGAGAAAAAAAATAGACAACATTACCTTTCATATTTTAGAAACTATATATTTTTTTAATGTTTTTACCTGGGTATTGGTTAAACAGACCAGTTCAGTCATTTCAACAAAATCAACTGGGTTCAGCCAAATGTAACTCAACAAACATCCTTTCCGAAAAAGAAAAAAATGCAACTCTCTAGTCTCTACAATAAAACCTTCAACATATATGACATTTGACCAGAATGGACTTTCCAAAGAGAGGAAATAATACAGCCATCACATTCAGAAGTCAAATCCCAAGTAGCATAATCAATTCAGAACAATGTTTTATAAGTTATGCCGAACTAGGAAAGGACTACAACTAAAACCTAAATAGTATAATTCCAAACTTACTCGTCAAATTTTATACTTTATAGCCATACAGATAAAAAAAAAAGGAACAAGATGTTACCTTAAAAGCTACATAAGATTTGCTATTGTTCTTAATCCTAACAGCACTCCTCGTCTGCTTTCCTGGTTCATCTTTATCATACAAATCAATACAAAACTCCTTCAATCAGCACTAGAAAAAGACAAGGTGAAACTCAATAACATGGTTGGAAAATAATGATTGAAATACTCCCTTCCTATTTATCTACAAATCATATGATAGTTAAGCAATAATTTGAACACTCTACCGAAAAGGGAAAAAGAAAATTGGTACGCCTAGAGAGATATAAATAAGATAAAGAGGGGGTAGATGGTGAGAGGAGTAAGACAAGGATGAAAATGAAGAACGCACAAGGAAAATATAGATTATTAGCTGGATCGAGGCGCAGGCGACGGTGAGCAGGGAGGAAGGATCTAGCAACGGAAGAGAGAGAGATAGAGGTGGCCGAGGTAGAGGATCTAACCCCGTCACGGCGTGCAGAGTTGAGGTTCTGAGTGGAAGAGGGTGATGAAGATGAGGTTCCGGAGTGGCAGAAAGGCCAAAGCTTCCAGACCTTGGCGTCGGACTTGTTGTGGTCGTCGGTCGTCATGAGTTCGCCGGAATAAGTTCGGTTTGGACGGAGTCGTTGTTGGGGGAATTGAAGAGGAGGGAGCGTTGGGGTGTTCCGATTTGCTAGCTCAGTTGACCCCCCACTCTCATTTCCAGATGAGACGTGGTCCGTAAGCCGTCTACACCACTCCCTATATTATTATACACCCGCTCCGCTGTGTCTAATAAACTTTCAATTTTCCTTTTTCGTACGTCTCAATTAAAACTTTCACTTTTCCTTTTTGGCCAGAATTTATGGTTCACACCAATTCTTACATATTTCTCCCTCTTCTGCACAACTCTCCACCACACAATACTCATTATCTTAAACTGTGTGTCAAACCTATTTGGAAGATATAATAAGGACGAAGGGAGTACATACATTATTTATGAGCATTGACTCTTTATGAAAAGAAAAATTGTGATGCTATCTCTTTTTACAGCCACTTTTATATTTTTATACCCACTTTTTATATCCATATAGTCTGTGAGAAAGATTTTTTTTTGTTTCTCAATGAGGTTCATAGACAAACAAGACTATGAAAATTATATGAATTGACATTTTTTTTAATTTCCATCATTTGCAATGGATCAAAGGTTCACTATTTTTTTGTTTGGGAATATGATGGAATAAAGCAAAATGGTTCACTAAACTGTCTGCCCTTCTTTGTTGTGAAGTAGCAGTCAGTTCATGCAACTTTCGACGTGATTTTCACTACGGGTCATCCGGAAACAGCCTTTTGTTCTTAAGTACATGAGTAACACTGTGTACATCCAACCCCCCCTTACCCCACCCTAGATGGGAGCCTTTGCGGCACTGGAGTAATGATAATGATGAACTTTTTTTTCAAAAATGTCTCAAACTCTTTGTGTTATGATTAATCGTGCGCAAAACTCTCTTTGATGACAAATTTAACGATTTCGAATTCATGTCTTAATATTATGATTGAATATACATGTATATCGTAAAAATCTTTAAATTATACAAATATAGTCATCACTTCACTCTTATTTGACATTTAAACTTGTTCTTCAAGAGTTTTTTGCGCATGATTAATTATAACAAAGGGAGCTGAAGTATTTTTTAAAACGTATTCGTAAGTTTGTATCATATGGATACAAACTTAAAACGTAGTTTGTCACTGTTGTGAACAAACTTATTTTTTTGTATTTTCAAAAAATGTAAAAACGAAAATGACTTCTCAAGAAAATCAGAATGTTGTTGGGCAGAATGTGCCAAATGACACTCAACCTGAAAGCGGAGCTCTGGTGTACAATAGTTCACAATGCGGAACACCTGTTTTGGCCAAACAAAGGGCAATCCCCATGGTCACCGTGCCGAGCAACTCTGTGAAGAAACCCGGAAAATTCAATGAGTTAAACTTCAAGAGGTGGCAGCAAGAAATACTTTTCTATCTCACTGCTCTCGGTCTTGCACGGTTCTTGACCGATGACGTTCCGGTTGTAACCGGAAGTGGGGTGGATGTACAATCTCTCAATGTGGTTGAGGCATGGAAGCATTCTGACTTCCTTTGTCGAAACTACGTGTTGAACGGGCTGCATGATGCTCTTTACGATGTGTATAGCAAGCTAGCTACGGCTAAGGAGCTATGGAACGCTTTGGACCACAGTACAAAAGCAAGGATGCCGGTGCAAAGAAATTTGTTGTCGTCCGATTCCTTGACTTTAAAATGGTGGATTCGAAGACTGTCTTGAGTCAAGTTGAGGAGATGCAAATGATGTTCAACGAAATTCGAGATGAACGAATGACGGTTAGTGAGTCTTTCCAAGTGGCGTCACTTATACATTTGTTGTCGCCGACTTGGAAGGATTTCAAGAACTACCTTAAGCATAAGCGAAAGGAAATGAACTTGAAATAGTTCATCCTCTGTCTTCAGATTGAAGAGGATAACTGGAAGAACGATGGGAAACTCCCAATCGTTAATGGCGCCAAGGCAAACGTGGGTCGGTGGAGCATGCAAAGGACTCCAAGAACAAGAATAATGGGAAAAGCAAGCTCGGTCCTAAGGGAGGCGTTTCCAAACCCAAGTTTAATGAAAAATGCTTCAATTGCAACAAAAACGGACACAAATCCGCGGATTGCAAGACACCCAAAAAGAAGAAAGACAATCAAGTCAACTTGGTGCAAGGTGGGCAAAAGGATGAAGACATAATCCTTGCGGCCGTGGTGACCGAGGCCAACCTCATTAGATCCAATTCCAAGGAGTGGTTCGTGGACACCGGAGCTACCCCGACATATTTGCTCAAACCGGGAGTTATTCACAACTTTTGAACCATCAAATGGCGAGAAGGTGTGGATGGGAAACTCAGCCCATTCCGCGGTGGAAGGTGTGGGCAAAGTGTTCCTGAAGATGACTTCGGGCAAGGAACTGACTCTCAACCAAGTGTTGTTCATCTCTGAGATACGCAAAACCTAATTTCCAGTTCGTTGTTGAACAAACATGGCTTCCGCATGGTGTTTGAGTCAAACAAATTAGTTTTGTCTAAGTCGGGAGTGTATGTGAGAAAGGGGTATGCAGCTAATGGGCTGTTTAAGCTCAATGTAATGACTAATAATAATAATAATAATAATAATGATAATAATGATAATAATGATAATAATGATAATGATGATCATGATGATGATGATGATGATGATGATGATGATGATGATGATGATGATGATGATGATGATGATGATGATGATGATGATGATGATGATGATGATAATGATGATGATAATGATGATGATGATGATGATGATGATAATGATGATGATAATGATGATGATAATAATGATGATAATAATGATGATCATAATGATAATCATAATGATAATCATAATGATAATCATAATGATAATCATAATGATAATCATAATGATAATCATAATGATAATCATAATGATAATCATAATAATAATCATAATAATAATCATAATAATAATCATAATAATAATCATAATAATAATCATAATAATAATCATAATAATAATCATAATAATAATCATAATAATAATCATAATAATAATCATAATAATAATCATAATAATAATCATAATAATAATCATAATAATAATCATAATAATAATCATAATAATAATCATAATAATAATCATAATAATAATCATAATAATAATCATAATAATAATCATAATAATAATAATAATAATAATAATAATAATAATAATAATAATAATAATAATAATAATAATAATAATAATAATAATAATAATAATAATAATAATAATAACAATAATAATAACAATAATAATAACAATAATAATAACAATAATAATAACAATAATAATAACAATAATAATAACAATAATAATAACAATAATAATAACAATAATAATAACAATAATAATAACAATAATAATAACAATAATAATAACAATAATAATAACAATAATAATAACAATAATAATAACAATAATAATAACAATAATAATAACAATAATAATAACAATAATAATAACAATAATAATAACAATAATAATAACAATAATAATAACAATAATAATAACAATAATAATAACAATAATAATAACAATAATAATAACAATAATAATAACAATAATAATAACAATAATAATAACAATAATAATAACAATAATAATAATATAAATAACAATAATAATAATAACAATAATAATAATAACAATAATAATAATAACAATAATAATAATAACAATAATAATAATAATAATAATAATAATAATAATAATAATAATAATAATAATAATAATAATAATAATAATAATAATAATAATAATAATAATAATAATAATAATAATAATAATAATAATAATAATAATAATAATAATAATAATAATAATAATAATAATAATAATAATAATAATAATAATAATAATAATAATAATAATAATAATAATAATAATAATAATAATAATAATAATAATAATAATAATAATAATAATAATAATAATAATAATAATAATAATAATAATAATAATAATAATAATAATAATAATAATAATAATAATAATAATAATAATAATAATAATAATAATAATAATAATAATAATAATAATAATAATAATAATAATAATAATAATAATAATAATAATAATAATAATAATAATAATAATAATAATAATAATAATAATAATAATAATAATAATAATAATAATAATAATAATAATAATAATAATAATAATAATAATAATAATAATAATAATAATAATAATAATAATAATAATAATAATAATAATAATAATAATAATAATAATAATAATAATAATAATAATAATAATAATAATAATAATA